TATATTATATTTCACCGACTGTTGGTTCTAAATCCCAATGATGGTGGTAGAATTACCTTCGAAATAAATTCATTATCGAATTGGTTGCTTCTTTCCGATGCTTATTTCAGATGTAATTTCAAAATTAAAGATGGAACTCAGAATCAAGTTCCACAAACAAATACAACGTTAGAAAACAATTTCTTTCCATCTTTATTTAGCGAGATGGTTTTGGAAGCTGGTTCAAATCCTATAGAAACAATCAAACACCCTGGGGAATTCGCCACAATGTTGAAAACAGTTTTATATCCTAAAGATTTCGATTCAGTCTCAGGTTGGATACCCGATGTTGGCGATGGAAGTGTTTTAAAAGAACCGGTAAGAAATCTTGCAAATGATGCTGATTTAGCTAGAGTGAGAGTTGTTGCTCGAAATACAATAGAAAGAGTAGCACGAGCAGCTAATCATGGATTCGAAAAACGAGTACTTCAGTATAATAATGTTGTTGAGAATACTAGGTGGGTAATTACGTAAATTGGAAATTATATCCTTTATTCGGTCTGTTGGAACACAGAAAGGTTTCCATAGGGTTACCATATAAAATTCATCTACAAAGAGAAATCAACGATGATAAGATATTTTTTGGAGAGAATGGTTCAGATGCAAAATTAGAAATAACGAATTTCCAACTTTTCATACCCGTAATAACACCATCAATTGAAGTAGAAACGAGAATATTCAACTCATTAACTAAAGATATTGAAATAGCTTTTCTTCATCGTAACACGGTAGGTAGCATTACTTTAACTGGAGAATCCACCACATGGCCAATCACTAACACTATTAAACCAGCAAGATATTTAATGGTTGGTTTTAAGAACTTACCAGATTCTCAAACGAATAATAATAATGTCTTCAGAGTGGCAATGAACCAAACTCAAAATCCTTTAATCCATAAAGTTCAAGTAAGATTAAACAACGATAATTATCCTAACCAACCTTTAACAACTAATCCAACCACAAAGGATTATAATGAATTGTATAGAAACTATAAAAATATGTATATTACCATCAAAGGTAAAAAAAGTCTCTTCTTGAATAGTAAGGTAATCGAAATCATCAAATTCATAGTCTTCGTCCAAGCACATCTCCTTCCCAGAGTTGTAAGGATACATTTTTCCTTTATCATCTGGTGCTTTTCTCTTCACTAAATTCAAATAACTTCTAAATTTTTTAGTTTGTTTTTCATTAGGAATAACTATTCCATCAGTAAAACTCTTTCCCCATGGTTTATCAAATTCATTCGTTACATCATGTCCACTAGCTAATCGAATATAATCGTCTACCTTAATCTTATAGTTAAAGTATCCCTTAAACGTTTTCTTTTCTTTTAAAACACCATCGGAAGTTAGAATAATATCATATTTAACTTTTGGCGCTAAATATAAACCAAATATGATTCCACCATCACCGTAATCATTCTTTCCTTTACAATAATCATTTTCGGACACCAACCCAGCTTCATTTAATGTATCCCAATTGCTAGACGAAATGTATAAACTATCGGTAACGGTATAGTATATTTCCGGTTTATAAAATCCATCTATGACGTGATTAAAATTTTTCATTATTCTTTTACTGTGAGATAATATAAATGTACCTAAATGAGTGGGTGTTAATCTTGTAGAATCCTTTGGAGGAACAAACTCTTTTTTCTTCGTCATTAATCTCAACAATGTATTGAGTCTCATTTAGTTTGTCATACTTCTTGACGTGATTGTCGTAATTAAGGCGGAAGGTTTCTTCATTCCATAAATGCAATAAGGTATTTCTATCCCTCTGAATAGATTAACCATATAAGGAATTACCTAACAACTTCATGCAGTTACTGGCAACCACATCCCCTTCCTTTTTGTATTTATTCCTTAATTCCTTCAAAATTAAAATATAATCTCTATAGGGTGAAGTTTGAAAATTTTCTTCGTATACTATACCATCTAATATCTTGAGTATTTTACCACCTGCTTTCACTATTTCTTGAATATCGACCAATGTTAAAACACCTGAACAGAAACCATTTCTGAACCTGATTTTACTCCCAGTTTCCTTCTTACCTATTCTATTCGTAAAACTGATTATATCTTTAGCGGGTATGGGTTGGAAGAACATGTTGGTAGGATATTTAAACCAGACTTTTAATACTGCCGTTCTAGGTCTGAATTTCTGCTCATTAAAGAGCTTGATAAATTCTTCATTTTCTTCTTTTCGAAAGACTCTCGCGCTTTCCGCTTTAGGATATTCACCTTCTGTCATAGCAGAGGCGTGCAACCCATTAGCGTCAAATGCCATCAGTTTAGAATAGTCCAGCTCTTTGAGTTTAGAGTGAACTTCTGTTTCATCTTTTGGGTTAGCACTGTATTCTTTGAATAAATCTATTATGTTATCACTTGGTGTTTCTGTGTATTCCTTTAATATATTAAATCTCATCCATTTTATTCCTTTTAAATGATTTTCTGTTAGCAGAAACTCTTCCTCCCTTAATGGATTGTCTGATAAAATATCTTATAAAAGGATGAGTATGTGAATAAACTTTTTCTATTTTTTCTTTTTCAGTGTGTTTCGGAACCATTCTAGTAGTTTCATACCATTCTTCTTCTACCTTTTCTTTATCGTAATGATATAAATAATACCAACCCTTTAAAGATAAAGAAGGAGCCGTTAGATTATTGGAAATATTCTGAAATACAACTTCTTTCATTGCTTGATTGTATTTTATCAAACAAGCTCCGAGACATAGCGTATCTCTTTTAGCGTAAGTTTCCCATTCGTGTCTTAAAGATTCCCAATTATCTTCGGTGTATTTAACAATGTCTACAGATTTTTTTTTTTAAATCTATTGGTAGATTGGATGAATTACCCTATGCCGCCAAACTAGATTTTTCATGTTGATAGGAACAAGTGAGACATATGTTTTATAAATAGTTATTTTTATCTGATATTTTTATCTCTCCTGTCTTTCTATTCTCTCTTTTCCACTTTTTCTGCAATCTTTCTTCTGTATACGGATTAGATAAAGGAAGAGATAGAATTTTTTTATCTGTTACTAGTGGACATTGTGTTAGTTTATTAAGGCTTTTAAGTGCAATCCAGTTTAAGGTTAGTCTTTTTTGATCTACTGTACCTAAACGACGCAACATCTGATCGAAACAATCTGTTCCTACAAATATTTCTACTATATTAGTTTGTTGTAAAATTCTTCTGGAATGGGATCAGTTGGCTTTAAATCTGGGAATACTCTTTTAATTACTTCTAGTTTTTGCCTTAGTTTTTCCAAATTGACTAAAGTACAACAATAAGGAATAGCTTTATTCGTTTCTTTTTCGCTATAGGTTTCGCAATCCCAAGCGAATAAAGTATCATCATGGGGTTGTGAAATCACGTTTAGTTTTAACTGAGCAAAACATGTTACTGCATCATCATCCCCGCAGATTCTCGATACATTTTCATCGTAATTATCTTCTATTTCTTTAATACCTAAAGCTTTGTTATTTCTTCTTATCAAACAGAAATGTTCTTTGTGTAAATAAAAAACCCAATCTAAGTCTATGTTTACATATCTTGGTTTAAAATGACTGTCTTTAGGGTTATAGATTTGAAAATTTGTATTAAATCGATCGTTGAATATCTTAACTCTTTTAACTGTCATCACTCCTTTTCTTTTTGCTTTTTGAAATCTGTTGACGAAATCTTGAAATTCCTTTGTTAAGTCTTTATTCATGAAGTGATTTACACACTTTATAAAACTATAGCCATCGCTTGGTATGTAACAATTTTCGCCTTTGTATTCATTTATCTTTTTAAGTAGATTACCACCTCTGCCAGTTTTAGATCTTTTTACTATTCTAAAATTATTTTTACGGAAAATAATCTCTGCTGTAAAATACCAATCAGAGGCGTCAGATTTATCATGCATCTTTGAATGATTAATCTTGAAAGTTTGAGCATTGAATCCAGAAAATCTCATGTCTTGTTTATATTCCCCTTTTCATATATTTGACCATTTATTTCAATTTGACCTTTAATTTTAAAATCATTAAAAATAATAGTTATTCTCTTGATTAATTCTGAAAAAAGCATATTTTAATTTCATTCTCCTCATTTTTAAAAATATCGGCTGTCCTATCAACAATATATATTTAAATTTTTCTTCATCTTCTTCGTTACGCGAAAATAAATTAGGTATTGAATTGAATATCTTTGAAAATAGTCTTTTAGATAGTCCTTTGTTTAAATTTCCAATTTTATCCATTCTTTTTTTAAGTATCTGTTTTTAACTAGGAATTTTTAACTTTTATTGATGATATTTCTACATCAAATTTATCAAAATTTTATTGAATTTTTCAATGGTTATGTTCTTATATTCTCTCGATCTTTCGAAAAAAATGAATAATTTATTAAGATATGTATTTAAAATTTCTGTTTTCTTTTTGTAATGAGCTTTCTGTTTTGATGTAAAACCTAAAGTAATCAATCCACACGATGAAGTTTGAACGGCAGTGAACGCGGCTAATACAGTTGGGACATTTATTGGAAGCATTAATCCACCGGTTACGGCTGTTGCCACCGTTATCCCTACTGTTAGAACTGTGCTTAATGTTTTGAAAACAGAATCAATTCTACTCCATGTTTTTCTACATTTGTTGAAGTGTTTTAGTTTTTCTTTTAGTTCATTTTGTTTTTCTATCATGTAGTTTTGTCTGCTTTCTAGTTCCATTTTTAGGTAATTACATTAAGTGAACTTCTGATAAAGCAAAAGATGGGAAGTGTTTAATATTAGGATCCCAAACTCCATCACTCAGTTTAACTGGTATAATTTTTTCATCATCTGTTATAATTATTTCAGGTTTAATAATAAAAACTTCTACAGTTACTAAAGATATTTGTTCTTTCGAATCATTAATCTTATTCAGATGAACTGAAAATTTTGATTTTTCGATATTGATTTTTATCACACACCTACAAGTATATATACCTCCAACTTTTTCACATTCAATTATTGATGAAAATATTATAAATTGTTTACCTTGATGACTTTTATGAATATCGATTGAGGTAAATAAATAAGTTGAGGTAAAAAAAATTAGTATATTCGTGTGAAAAACTTTTATTAACAAAATATAGTTTTACATATTCAAAGTCTGATGTTCGTAAGAACTCATAACTCATATTTACTTCTTTTTGTGGTTCTGGATTTCTAATAATGTTCATTGATGGTGGACTTTCCGTTTCCAATATCACATTAAAATCACTAAAAGAAAATTGATCTTTATTTTCTTTATCTGGTATGAGTAACATTCTAAACCTATCTATATATTTTCCACTCGTTTTAATTTCATATAAGTGATAATTCTTGCTGTTTTCGTCGTTAATTTCAAATTCTTTAATTTCTACATTTTTGTACCATTGATAAACTGAAGAACTTTTTGAGCATTGAATTCATAATGAAATTTATGGTTTTGTCTGAACAATATTGAATCAACTTTTACCTGCATAGGAAAAAAATTTTTTCATGGAAAATAAAATAAGGTTTATCTTCAGAATCAAATATTGTAAAGGACATGGTATAATGTGGAGAAAATACTCTAATTTGTAAATCCATATTTTTTTATATTCACACTCTTTTGATCTATCAATATTATCAGTAATAGAAGCATCGTCACGTCTCATACTTCCAAATGTAAGACTAAGATAATATGATGCATTTTCTTGCTTGAATTGTTTTTCTAATGCGACTATATTTTATCCTCTTTTAAAACTAGGTTATTAATAGTGGTTATCTGTTGTTGAATAACATCATCATCAATGTTCTGTATTTGTTGTTGAATATAGGTTTTGATTTCGCTATCATCAATATTTTGTACTTGTTGTTGAATATAGGTTTTGATTTCGCTATCATCTATGTTTTGTATTTATTGTTTAATATTTCTTAGTTCTTTTTGTAATTCACTGTTAAGTTTAGTTTCCAGAGCATCTAATTCCTGTTGAAACGTATCTTCATTTTCATCTGGAATGTTATCTATTAATTGTTGAATGTCTAATTTTTGTTTTGCAATCTTATCCTCTAATTTAGATATTAATGAAATTAAATTTTGTAACTCAGTTTTGTTCACTACGTTGACCAATTGTTCTTGAATAAAACTTATTAAACCTTTTACCTCTTGTTGTAGTTTAGTTTCATTAACAAAATTTGTATTATTTAGTTGACGTTTGAAGAATCTTTTCACATTACTTATTTTATCTTCTAAATGATTTTTATTTACTTCAATTGAATTTATTTGTTCCCGTATATATTTCTTGTGAACGGCGTCATTATCGTTTTCCATAGACTTTAAATTAGTTACTTTGATATTGTTCATATCTAAATCACCTTGAAGAGTGTCTCCGATTTGATCCACAAAGTAAGGTTTCGCTTTATTTATCGTCGCTGTATTGTTAGGTTTTTTAGTTTCTAACGATAAAGAACCTAATCCAAACTTGTTCGCCATTTTTATTGAGTTAAATTTATTACAATTTCTTCAAACTGTTTTCCTAAACTCAACGGATATAAAACCCAAAGTGAAAGCTGTCCACAAAGAGTTTGTCCCGGTAATTGAATTTGAAATGTTGAACATTTGATTGGTTGATTAGTCAATTGCACTATCTCTTCAGTGGGTTCTAAACCATAAGAATCGAAGAAATATAAGTTATTTGCAGAGTCTTTGTACAAAGCAGAATGATGAACTCCTTTTTGATCGGAAGTATGTATATTTGCTATAGCGTAAAATGTACTTTCTTATATTTCAGATCATTTATTTCATCTCTCATGCAATAATAAAACGGTGATATATTTAACTCATTCGCCCATCTCATAAGTTGAAAGTTTGTGGTTGTATCGGTTCCATATTTATCGAGAAGGATATTCATTTTTAAAAGTCGTTTTTTTGAAGTTCGTTTTGATAAAACCTACCTATGATTTGTTCTTTGTCTTGATCGATTAATTCATATGTCGGAGGTGATGTGGTGTTTACTTTATCAACGATGAATATTTCGTTTGTCCAGTATCCAACGTAACCTTTTTAGAATTTGCTTTTATATTTGAAAATACGAACTCGATCTCCGACTTTAAATTTGGATTTGATATTTAAATTCTTTATTTCATTTTCGTAGTTATGTTGCGCGTTAATTGACTTTATAATATTTGGATTGTTGGTGGCTTGTGTTGGTGTGACACCTATAGATGAATGAATTTTGTTATTGTATTCATCTACAACCTCTGCTAATATTTTAAGCCATTTTTGAGATTTCAATTCCGTGAACTTTTTGAATAATTTATTTTTCAGAGTTCTATTATATCTCTCAATAACTACAGCTTTACCTTCATTATGCGTGCTGTAAATTTCAAAACCTAGAGATTTCATATTTTTGTTATAAAATTCACTTCCTTTATCTTACCCACCATTTTTCTGGATGGCGGTTAGATTGTTTCATAGTCGTTTCAAATGCGTGTTTGACTGATAATCCTGTTTTGTTTTTCAAAGGAATAACCCAAGCATATCTCGTATACAAATCTATAACTGTTAAGCAATATGTATATCCTCTTTCGACTGGCATATGAATTAAATCGGCCGACCATATTTCATCTTTTTCAAACACTTTAACGTTTAAAAAGTTTTTAGTTTTTCTAAATTCTTCACGAATTTCATCCGTTAATCCCATGCCCAAATTCATCTTTGCTTTTAACAGTTTAATGATTAGAGCCCTTTGCATTCTCTCTTCGAAAGTTGTATTTGGAATATTTTCAAGTTTGATTATCATTTGTCTGTCTGCTTCGTGTCTGAAGTTTATGTCTTTGTTTCTATATAGTATGTCGTGTTTAAGCGCAGAGGCGTCAACTCTATTGACGGGTTCTTCGCCGGGTTTAGGTTTATCGTTTTCGTCTAATCTCAGATCTAACCTGGTACCTGGACCAGTGTAATTATGACGGGGAAGATGTTTTTCTCCGGGATATTTCGCCCATGGAAATCCAGGTAGAGAACCCAATGATTGTTGTATATCTGAACCAAAATAAGTTTTTGGAGCATGAGCGACTATCATTTTTATCCTATAACTTTAAAACCTTTTCCTTTCCTTTCTTCTAATCTCCTGTTTCGCAGTTCTCTTATTAGCTCTAATTCGTTCAATTCGTTAGCAGGCCCGTAGCCTGACCAATACTCCTGGGTGGGCAAACGTGCAATCGAGGGGGGCAATTTAGCAAAGCAACTTGACAGACGATTAAACGTCGGGAAACTGATTTTCATGGAGCATTTTAGATTCGAGATTATTTTACATTTTTATTGCCGTTTTAGTTTAAACGTAGTCGGGTATGTTTTATGGCAAAACATTCATACCATACTGTCTCAAAGTAGTCCTCATTCGAAATATTAAATCACTAAGTTGGTGTCTCCCTTACTTTTTGTACGTAGGCCCATTAAAGACATACACCAATCGACATATATATGACCTATATCGGAATATTACTCAGACTTTACGGACTATTTGCGAGGCTTATCCGTCCTAGAAACCCTTTGAAATTTCTACCATACTATCTCACACTAGTCCCCATTCCAAATATCAAATTACAAAGTTGCTGTCTCCCATATCTTTTATACGGAGGCCCATTAAAGACATAAATATGGCCTATGTAGAATAATACTCAGAGTTTATGGGCAATTTGCAAGTTTTATCCGACATAGGAACTTATTGCAATTCATACCATACTATCTCACATTAGTCCTCATTCGAAATATCAAATCACCAAACTGCTGTCTCCCTTACTTTTTGTACGGAGGCCCATTGAAGACACACTAATCGAGATATATATGGCCTATATAAGTATATTACTCAGAGTTTACGGGTAATTTGCGAGGCATTGCCGTCATAGAAACTTTTTGAAAT